GGATATATGCTTCACAAAAGCATTCTTTTTTTATGATTTATCTATTTATTTGAGAGAGAGAGTATGTGAGCAAGTGGGGGGAGGGGCAGAGAGAGAGAAACTCAAGTAAACTCCCCGCTGTTTGGAGAGCCTGACTCGGGGCTCAGTCCCTTGACCCATGAGATCATGACCTGAGCCAAAATCATGAGTCATATGCTCAACTAACTGAGCCACCCAGATGCTCCACAAATATTCTTAAAATGTAAAACTATATACAAATATAAAAATATTAAGAGTCCTTAAGTTATAAAGGCACATAGCAGAGAGGCCCAGTTAAAATATCTCTCAGTAGTTGTTAGAACAAAATCCAGTTTTCTTTGGTATTTTGTTATAAGGTTATTATATGCGTAGTAGCATAATCTGATTTTTTTTAGTTCCACGTTTAACCCCTTTCTGCTATCCATAGACATGGTTCCCTATATCTATTGTAAGACCTTTCTGTGTCTGTGAAGCTGCCTCCTATTACTGATGCTTCTGTGTTTTACTCTGTTCTCCATCACTTTTTCAGAGTCTAGCTCCATTTGCTGAAGAGTTCTTGTCTGGTTGATGTATAGCCTTATTACTCAGGCCTGACTTCTGTGCCCTTGGAAGTCTGGAAACCAATAGGTAACCTGCTGACTGTTTAGATTACCATTAGTGGTTTCTTTGGCACCAACCTTTAACTGACCCCTCACTGTACCTGCTTTTGCTGCTAGTTAGGCTCTTGCTGTCTGATGATTGCCCCCTAAGTGTACCTTCCTACTTATCACCTAGAGTCCCCATCAGGCTCAAGTCAGGAATCTTCTCTCTGTGCCAGTTGAGCCAATCCAGTGTGTGGACTGATCTGCTCACTTATTTTTGGGGACCTGACTACTCTCAACTCTTGAAGAACTCCAGCATGCAGAACTGCCTCTGTTTTCAACAGACGTGGCTCCAAAGGATTGTTCATAAGTTCACGTGTGTCCCTTCAAGAAAATGACCCCAGATGGGTTACTGCTGTTGCCATCTGCTGGTGGCAGACAGAGTTGGCACAGGGTGGGTCTCTTGCCTAGTTTGGTCATATTTAGGGAAGGTCTCAAATTAAAATCTTACATAGAAGAATGTCTACCTATGATGTATTTGCAGTTTGTTCTCTTTTATTGCTTTCAGCCACGTTGACCTTCTTCCCGTTTGTCCAATATACTCACCTCATTTCCCATTTCATATCCTCCTTAGGACCTTTACATTTGTTGTCCCTTCTTAGAACACACTTCAACAAGTCTTTGGTTGGCTGGGTTCAAACATTATTCACACCTCAGGTGAAATGTGATTACTTCACGAGGCCTGCCTTGACCGCACTGCACCAACCTCATCCATCAATTACTCTCTTACTCAGTTGTATTTTCTTTGTAGGACTTACTGTTCACTGAATTTCTTTCATTCATTTACTATTTGATGATTGACCTCCTCCTCCTGCATGCACCCCATAGGAATGTAAGTGCCATTAGAGCAAGGGGTAAGGAGAACTTGAGGGACAGAACAATTCTTATATTGAGCGAAGGAGATGTTAAATAAATACTTATGTCCATGAATGCAGATGTACCTCTGACTGCCTGTGGAAATCCCGTTGGCTTTTGTTGTCCTTCTTAAATAATAACTCTTGGGAACTTCTCCAATGAGACATTTTCACAGCACTTTTTATTCTTTCTGTTATTTCTAATTTTATGCCGTCACGTCCCCATTCTGAGATTAAAATGTAGTGGAAATAGGGATCATACCAATTTATATTCTTATACATCTTAGACTTAAGGACACAGCAAGTGGTGAGAAGATACTCATGAAATGATGAGTACATGACAGTCAACCATATTATAAGACTGCCAGTGATTTTATTCTTTTTCTTATTATGAAATATGTAAAGCATACAGAAAGAAACAGTAATATTACAAATAATATCCATGCACAATCACCTGCTTTAAAAAAATTAATATTAAAATTAATATTAAAGACAGGTTTGAAATCCTTTTGTGACCATCTGCAGTACTGGCAGTATTTGGTCATCTGAATGACCAAATATGTATTTCTCATATACATTTGATATGTATTTCTCAAATGTATCTGGTGTTCCTACCCAGTTTTTGGCTTAGAGCTTCCAAAACCCTTGGAATTTCCTTAGGGTTTGAATGTCTTTGTTATGTTAATGTTGGTATCTTTGTCAGGTTAATGAGGTGGCTTTTGGAATCCGCCTAAAGATGGGGGCAGATCTGATCTCGCTGTGGACCCAATCACATGATTAGGGAGTTGGAACTTTTAGTCCTGTCCTCTGGCCTGCACCTCCTGGGAGGGGAAAAGGGCTGGAGATTGAGGTCAGTTCTCAAAGACCAAAGATTTAGTCAGTTAGGTCTGTTAACAAAGTCTCTGTAAAAACCCCAAGGGATGGAGTTCAGAGAGCCTCCCTGGTGGTGAACAGAAAGATTTTGGGAGAATGGTGCATTCTAAGAGGGCATGGAAACTTCACACCCTTTGTCAGTATCTTGCCCTATGCATCACTTCCATCTGGTTGTTCCTGAGTTATATCCTTTTATAATAAACTGGTAATCTAGTAAGTAAAAACATTTTTCCGAGTTATGTGTGCCTCTCTAGCAAATTAATCAAACCAAAGGAGGTGGTTGTGGGAACCTCTGATTTATAGCCAGTCAGTTGGAAATACAGAGAACAACCCGGGCTTGTTCCTAGCATCTTAAGTGGGGCTACAGGGTGGTCTTATAGGACCGAACCCTTAACCTGTGGAATCTGATGCTATCTCCGGGTAGATAGTGGCAGAATTGAGTTGAATTCTCATATTCTCTGGTGTCCAGGAATTGCTTGGTGGTGTGGAAGTCCTCTCCAACCCTGTGCTGAAATGGAGTCCATGAACCTAAAAGACTGTCCCTCAACCCCTTCTGCCCTTTCTTTCCTGAAGCAATCATGATTCTGAATTTGGTGTTCATCATTCCTGTACATGTGTGATTGTATGTGCATTTTGCCACTACTATCTGGGTATGTGTGTGTGAGTGTCCATTTATAACATATGGAATTAGTCTGCTTATTTTTGAGTATCATATAAGGGTCAATTTACACCTTACTTGTTCCCTCAACATTATGTTTTTCAGATTATCCATATTGATTTATATAGGATAAGAATCTAGGGGTAAGATTGCTGTGTAGTATTCCTCTATTTTAACTATTGTATAGTTTCTTTCTCCACTATCTTATTAAAAGGCATTTGATTTTCCCTTTTCATTCTCCTTTTTTTTTTTTTCCTTTCAGATTTTATTTCTTAGAGAGAGAGAGAGAGCATGAGCAGGGGGGCAAGAGGCAGAGGGAGAGGGAGAAGCAGGCTCCTGGCTGAGCAGGGAGCCCAAAGCAGGACTAGATCCCAGGACCCCAGGATTATGAACTGAGCCGAAGGCAGATGCTTAACCTTAACTGACTGAGCCACTCAGGCACCCCTCATCTTTCACTCTTAAAAAACAATACTGGGGCGCCTGGGTGGCTCATTGGTTAAGCAACTGCCTTCGGCTTAGGTCATGATCCTGGAGTCCCGGGATCGAGTCCCACATCGGGCTCCCTGCTCGGCAGGAAGGCTGTTTCTCCCGCTGACCTCTCTCCTCTCATGCTCTCTCTCTCCTCTCAAATAAATAAATAAAATCTTTAAAAAAAAAAAAGCAAAAACGATACTGTAGCAAACATTCTTGTGCCATTTTTTTCTCAGCATCCCAGGTAGTTCCTCTAGGGTTATTGGGAGTTGGAGCTTTTGGGTCAGAGACTGAAAACATTATGTTGTGATGAAGAGCAAGGCACTGGAATCGGGCTCCCTGGGTTTGAATCCTCACTCTGCTACTTCCTGGTTTTCCCGAGAAGCTATGAGCAGCAGCTATGTACAGCCCTTGTGAACAAACACACCCTACCCAACCCCTGGCATCACGCGGTCATCTTGGCTTAGGTCCCTTTGGCTCTGGTGGATCCTGCTGGAGCCCGTCTCCCACAGGACTGTAGCTTCACACACAATGACTGCTTTGCATTTCTGTACCATTTCTGATCCATGAAGAGGTTTATTTTCAAGCCTGGAGATATTTTTTAGTTTTCCCTTTTAGTATTTTATTTATCACTCCTATGTGTTTGGAGCCAAGGGAGTACATCAAAGCATGAACTTATTGTGTCACCTTAACCAGAAGTTGATAATACCTCTGCAGCCTTTTAAAATAAGCACACATCTTAGTATCATCTAATCATAGATTTTTGGAGCTGGAAGGGATTTTAGAGATAATGAAGGCCAATAACCTTATTTTATAGGTGAGGGAATTGTGGTCTTGAGAAATTAACTGATTTACCGAGGTCATATATTTAGTTAATGGTGGAGGGCAGGACCAGAACCAAAGCCTGCGGACTCCCTCAGTAGTCCTTTTCTAGTTTCCACTATTGCAGTCTTGTCTCTAAGCTGTATTTGCATGCAGCATTTTATTTTTAACAGAACTCAAAAAATACAGGAGCATCTCTGCAATTAGAAAAATGACACATCACACTTTTAAACTGATAGATGTTTTCTCTCCAAAAAATTTGAGGTAAAAGAAAGAGTACAGTATTCACTGCCTTGGGTTGAATATATTTTCATTAGAAGGCACAATACCTTTTGACTCTGTAGATTTCTGCTGCATTTGGTTTCCTTGACTTCCTGAAACTTATTAGGATGGGCCCATCAATAATGGTGCCGATACTTCCAGCCTCCTCCAACACTGGGTCTGAAAATGAACAGTGATGAATGGATATGGCCAGCATGTACAGTGATAGCCTATATTTCTGCTGTCATGTAGAAATGGCAGGTAGTTTAATTTAGAAAAAAAAAAAATTACCGAGAAAGAACAAATATTCCCTTTCATTAGGATTTCTGGACTTTTCTAGGATATGAATTTAGAATCTGATATGTCTTTAAAGCCTTTGGAATTGTTTTATTCTATTTCTAGATCTCTTAGCTGTGCCTAAGCATCCGTACGCTGCTATGGAGAACTGGGGACTAAGTATTTTTGTGGAGCAAAGAATACTGCTGGATCCCAGTGTTTCATCTATTTCTTATTTACTGGATGTCACCATGGTCATTGTTCATGAGATATGTCACCAGGTAGGAGAAAAAGGATCAGGTGTAAGTATGACTGCAAACTATTGAGAATGCAGAATGATTTCAGATACTTAGATTAGGAACTACATTATTACCCTCCCAATTAAGTTTTAATTAGGTAGAGAGCGCTGTGCCGTTCTTTTCGGAGGGTATGTCATTTTTCTCAGCTGACGGCACAAACAAAAGCAAACACACTGATGATATTGAATAAGCAACTGTCATTCAGTGTAGTTGAGGAGTGAGAGGGAACAGCCACCCAGCAGCCTCTTCTGAGACCCTGTCCGGTCCTGGGTCCTTGTCAACTTTGCTTTATTTCCTTGTGATTATTGGCGTGTATGTATGGTAAGTGCAGCGATGGCAGTGATTTATTGCGTTGATGCAGCTGAGTTTCGTGTACGTGTCAAAATTTGCTTTTGCTGAAATCAATTTGTTATTCCCTTTTTCCCATCACATAGACACTTAGGAAGTCTTTCACTAACTCAGCCATAGACTCTTTGTTCTCTAGTGATTGATATTTTTTTGTCTTGGCATGTTTAGAAATTCATATGTAAATTAGCCAACTTTGTAGTGAAGCAAAGAAAATTAATTTCATTTTGATTTTATGCACTTTCTTACAACGAGTGGAAGGTATTACAGAGATTTCGCAATGCTTATTTGAAACTTGATTCTAGTTTAAAAAAAAAAAAGACAAAACTGAAAATAAATGTTCATGCTAATGGAAAGCAGTACCTCTCCTGGTGGGTATGAATGGTTTTAAATTAAACCACTGGAAATCTCATTGCGATACTGTATGGCTTCTATTTCTTAGGAACCCAAAACCTTTTTAAAAAGATGGAAAAACTCAAGAAGGAATTATGTGGAAAATGCTGTCAGCAAAAGAAAGTGAAGTGCTAAAGGCTAATACATGAACACTGACTTAATGATAAATTGGTTCAGGCCATGAGGCCATTTCCCTCAATGCCAGCCTTCCGCAAGTACACCTATACGATGTTTCTGTCTGTCCTGCTGGCCAGGTCAGGCATGTGTCCCTTGCCCCAGAGATGTAAGGGGATCCATTGCACAGATAATCAGGGCTCCTCCAACATGCTGAAGAGGAGGCTTTCCAATGAAACACAGTAATTCTTGGAGGCATAAGCAGCTTCCTTTTTGCAGATTTCTAGAAACAGTTTACTTATATAGTCTGTTGAAATAAAAGTACATTGATGATGTTATCTTTGTTCCTAGAACTGGATTTTATTTGTTCCATATTCTATGTTACTTTCTTGTTATAACTTATTGGTGCTAGGCTACTTACCATGAGAAGATGGACCAGAGGCTGGGAAAAACAGAATTTCCATTCTCATTACCAAGTTATTTTCTGCATTACCCTCTCTTCTCACTTATGCATTGTCATGATTTTCAAGACAGGCTCTCAGTTTAAAGGAGAAACATCCATTTTTGATTAAGAATAAAAGTGATTTTAAACATCATTTATTTTGTGGTCATTAATGTTGAGTTATTGCTTATTTGTATTTTAGTTCGAGATCCTTTTGAGTAACTGATTCTTTATTATCGATACTGAAACCCTCAGTCACCAAGCTCTTTCCTGGAGCTCCTAAAGCTATACCTGACCTGATGACTGTTCTTTTTCTCCTTCAGTTTCTTAAATATCTTGTTCCCACTTAGGCTCTTCACACTAAGTGTTGCTTACATCTGCTTGGAATATTCTTCCCAAGGCTTTCTCCTGACCGGTTCCTTCTTATCGTTAAAGTCTAAGCTCAACTGTCAATGGCTTAGAGAGAGCGTTTTTGCTTTGACAGTCAAGAGTGGCTCTTCCCCCATTCCTGTCACATTTTATTAGGATTTGAAATTGTGTTGTTCATCTGCTTATATATTTTTTATTTTGTACCTTACCTCATTACTCCTGTCTCCACAATAAAGCATCAGCTGTACAAGAAGGGACATTTCCTAACTTTTCATCATCACACCCAAGGTCCCCAGGATCACTCTAAGCATATAATGTTTTTGTTTTTATTTTTAATGGAAAAAAGAATTTCTTTAACTTTTTGCTGAACTAAGCAAGGATTTCAGAGTGGCGCATCATGCGTTAATTAAAACACCAGTTAACAATGACGACATTATTGGGACATCTTGGTGGCTCTGTCAGTTAAGTGTCCAACTCTTGGTTTCAGCTCAGGTCATGAGTCTTTTTTTTTTTTTAAAGATTTTATTTATTTATTTGTCAGAGAGAGAGACAGCGAGCACAGGCAGACAGAGTGGCAGGCAGAGGCAGAGGGAGAAGCAGGCTCCCCACAGAACAAGGAGCCCGATGCGGGACTCGATCCCAGGACGCCGGGATCATGACCTGAGCTGAAGGCAGCTGCTCAACCAACTGAGCCACCCAGGCGTCCCTCAGGTCATGAGTCTTGAGAGCAAGCCCTGTGTCCAGCTCCAGGCTGGGCATGGAGCCTGCATAAGATTTGCTATCTCCTTCTCCCTTTGCTCCTCCCCCCACTAGCTTTCTCTCTCTCTCTCAAAATAAATAATAAATAAATAAATAAATAAATAAATAAAAATAAAAATAAGACATTATTTTTCATGAAGGGATTTTAGAGATTTTTTTTGGTCCAGCCCTTTGTTATCACAAGATCATAGAGAGACTGAAGGTCCTCCGTTTCTTCAATCAGCCCATGTCTTCTTTGAGTTGTCTGTGCTGTTGGAAGGCAATGCTTCAATACCTCCTGTGATGAGTAGCTCACCACTTGAGGCAGTATTCTCCATCTTTGGCCATCTCATTCCATTAGAGGGTCTCCTATATTTTCAGCAGACATCCACCAACCCTGATTTCCATCCGTTAGTCCTTATTTGTACCTTGTAGGGCCACAAGACACAAGTTTCTTTGTCTTCTGTGTACTAGGCCTCCAAATATTTGAAAATAGCTATCATCAGTTTTTTCTCCTGAGTTTTTTCTTCTCCAGGTTAAAAATACTCTTTTTGTATTCTTGGTCATTATATTTTTGTTCTTCCCTGAATACATTTACCAAAAAACCCCCACAAAAACAAAAACAAAAAACTCATGTCACCAAGTGATTGAACAAATCAGTAGTCTTGCCACAATACATTTTAAGATCATGAATTCCAGTTATGATAGTCATAGTTTAATACATTTAATTTTAGATGAAATAATTCTGGGATAAATTTGATTCGATCTGATCTCATTCATTTTTCAATTGCAGTGGTTTGGTGACCTTGTGACCCCAGTATGGTGGGAAGATGTGTGGCTGAAGGAAGGTTTTGCTCACTACTTTGAATTTGTTGGCACAGATTACCTCTACCCTGGCTGGAATATGGTAGGTGCACTTTTTTTAGTTGTTTGGACTTCCTAGCGAAAGGTTGGTCTCATATTATATTATCATTATCTTATATAATCATTATATTATATTATATTAGCATTATATTATCATTAGAGCTTATATTTGTATCTTACCTCATTCCTCCTGTCTCCACAATAAAGCTTATATTTCATTAGAGCTTATATTATCATTAGAGCTTATATTATCATTAGAGGTGACTGAAAATACCCTCTGGAGAAATCACATGTCCCATAAAGAAAAAGTAACCAAAATTTAAATTTAACTTAAATTGGAAGTATTCCAAAAGACTTCTGTTTTATTTGTTAGAACTGAATAGAGTTTAATTGGGTATAAGTTGATTTCAAAATGGTATAGCTCTTCTTATAGAAATATCTTAAATTGTTGCATTTGAGAACAAAGGAAAATTCTTTAAGATGGAAAAGGTAATAGTAGTTAATAAGTAATATTTTAAGTCTAAAGAGTATTTCAGTATATATAAAAATGAGACCTTAATATTTTTTCATTGTGACTAATATTTGCTTATTTATAAAATACATTATAGTTGTAGATATACTTCAGGATCAAATAACTTAGTAAGATGTCATTAACTTCATGAGGAGTTATGCACGTTATACCTGTACGCTAAGAATGTATCTGTCTGAGGTTGCCTGGGTGGCTCAGTCATTAAACATCTGCCTTGGGCTCAGGTCATGTTCCCAGGGTCTTGGGATTGAGCTCCACACTGGGATCCCTGCTTGATGGGAACCCTGCTTCTCCCTCTCCCACTCCCCCTCCTTGGGTTCCCTCTCTTGGTGTCTCTCTCCTGTCAAATAAATAAATAAAACCTTTAAGAAAAAAAGCCCCAAAAATGTATCTGTCTGAACCTGAAGTTGGATTTGTTGTCCTTTAAGCAATGATGGTTCTAGAAAATCCTAAAAGAAAAAGTGGAGGGAAGGCATGGTTTTTATGTGTCTTTTAATATAAGGTTTTCATTTTATATATGCTTTTGTTAATCAATAAATAACTATGTTATTATTAAATGAAACCCAGGATGTATGTTGTTTTGGAACTTGAATTTTAAATTTAATTTAAGTGATAATGTGTAAAAGTTGCCAAGTACTAACATTTGTTGGCTTCCAGAAGCTCATATCTCACCCGCGATATAGCATAAGCAATAACATATATTTATTTTACTTTGCTGTTTTTTGATGTTTAAATTATTAATAGTGATTATCTAATTATCTGTCATAATTATGAGTATGTTTTGAAGAGTTAAACCAAGATGAAATATGAAGGTGTCTGTAAGTCATGATATAACTACTTTATCATCAGTTCAGCCAACTTCTGCTGCATAAAAATAATGTGATCTTACAAATCTCACAGAGGAACCATGACAATAGTAATATCATATTGATATGTTTTCGTTATGTTCATGCAGTTTTTGTCCTTATTTTGTAAAAGCAACATGGGTCATTTCCTCAAACAGTGAGATACTTTTACTTTAACCCTCTGTAACTAGGTGCGTCTGCATATATGACACGATTCTAAAAATCTTACTGCTTTTTCATGGCAGTGAAAATGCCTTTAAAGAACTTTAAAGAAAAATCACCAATACTGAAATACTATTAATTATTTAAAGTATTCTTGTAACAAATGTGAAATTTTAAAACCAGAATGTTTAAAGATATTGAAAATATTCCCCAAGTTCCTCCAAATATCTTTTGATTTTTACATGACTTTTAACCAACTTTGTTTAAAATTTTCATTATGCTGTGGATTATTACTGATTTACAATTTCATTATGTTTCAATATTAAAAAAATGACCTAAATACAAGTGACATGCTACTCATATAGGTAAGCTTTTTTTTTTTTTTAAGTTTATTCAGCCATCTATTGTAAAACCCCTTCTAGTCATCATTATGAAAAATACATCTTGGATTAAAAAGTAATCAACAGAATTATACATGGGCTGAAAACTGACAGCCTTTGTTGGCTCTGGCATGGCAATATATCCCAAGTCTCAATGTCTTTATACTGATTTTGTCTCTGAGTAATTTTTTTGTGCTCTTTCATCATTTTTATCAGTTAAGTTATAAATGTAGGCCTTCTGGAGAACATATTTATAAGATGTATTGCAAATGAACATTAAGTATAAATAACCCACCTGGGACTTTGTTTTTAATAGAATATAGACCATGAACTGAAAGTATAAAAACCCTGGGGTGGTAAGATACAAGATTTTTATTTCCTATAAATCCGTATTTCATAATTAATAAATGAGAATTAATGATGTTATAAGTACAGTGATATAGGAAGCTCACCTTATTAAACTAATAAATGGAAGAATAAAATCCATTACAGTTAATTAGGCAACAGTGAGGAAGTACAGGTCTTATCATGATGTCTCTTTATGTTCAGATTGTAAAGATTATAAACACTTTCTGATCTCTGATTGCTTTTGCTTTTTGGTAGCTATATTTAGAATACCTCATTGTACTAAATTCAAAGAACCTATGAGAAGAAATTATAAACAAATTGCTCCTCTCTATGTCATTAATATCTTCTTTGCAAACAAAATTTTAAGAGTAAGTTAGCCCCATAGATAAGAGGATATTAAGTAACTTTCAGGCTCTGCCAGCACTATTTTTCATAATGGCATCAGCAGTAGTGGAAGAAATACTAGAAAGAATAAGAGTGACGGCTGCGTCAGCAGTAACTCATACTGTTGTGATATGTGCAAAAGCTTACCTAGGAGTGCAGGGCTGGGGCTTTGCTAGAGCTTAGCCTAAAATAGAAAAATCAGAAGTCAGACTCATTTCAGGAGTAAAGGAATTCAGGAAGCTGACCCCTTTTGTCTCTAATCTCAAAAACAGTGCTTTTATCATTTTTACACACCAAGTCTAGAGCCCTAAAGTACAATTTCAATTTGCTATGGTGATTGTTACGACGAACTACCTTCAATGGAATAGCAATAAAGAAGCCCGGAATTACATAATCTTGTCAAGGAAGTCCTTGTTCTGATTTAGGCCAGTATATTTGCTTAGTCTGCTTAATTAGTTAGTAAAATCTTAGATTGTGCATGTGTGTGTGTGTGTTCAGAGCCAGTTGCTGATACAGAAGTAATCCGTTTTTATATTAGAAACACTCCATGGAATAAAAGCTTTTACGATAGTTTTGTTCCCAACAAACTAATCCAGTTTACCATTTTATAGATATGGGCCTTTACAGGTGCTATGATGGAAGGTCCAGGGAATGGACTGGCAAGAAGAAATTCAGATTCCAGGAAAGGTGTTTCACCGCTCTGACTGTTTCTTATCATTTGAAAAATGGGGGCAATTGTCCTGACTTATCACGCTCGCAGGATTTTTGTGAAGATAAAATAACTTGCAAGGTCTTTGAAATGTATGAGCCACTATACAAATATGAGTCGGCATCACGTACCTGGAAAATAAATGCTCCATTAGAAAGGGGCATTGATTTTATGTATAGATGCCCTAACATTTCCAAGCCCAGTCATCTGTTTTGACACCCTAGATTTATAACAATTATGTAGAGATTACAAAATAATTTTTATAATCCTTGTACCTGGACTCAGTCTCACCAAATCAATTCTTATCTATACTGGCAATGTGGATTCTTCTGTAGGAACATAAGCCTTGTATAATATTTCATTCATCAAACAGAAATGTCAAGATCATCAGAAGCAACTACTTCAGCTCAGGGCTAAGGATGCATTTCAGGGGCATGTAGTCCTTTTGCTTGACGCTATTTCATCAGAGTTGCCTGATAGTGACAATGTTATTGGATGGATCAAGTTACAGTATGATAGCGATGGCAGTTGTATTAAATCTCACTATGTTCCCTGGAACGGGAGGAAAAAAAGGGAAGACTCACTCAACATAGTTACTATTCTTCAATAATTCTTGACCATTTTAATGTGAAATAAACTATGATAAAGGACTTTTAGTACAAGGAAAGTATGCATGCTAAAATGCTACTTTGAACTCCTTATTTTATAGGCCTAGGGCTGATGCAGGCCAAATCAGATCTCCTCTGTAGATAGCATACGTTTTCATTATAGTTTGTATCTATATTGTAGACATGTCCTTTAGTTTCCTGAATATAGCATTATAAAGATGTGCTTCTATAATGAGAATTATTAAACATGAGTGTATGTTCCTTTGTTAAATGAATTGGGATTCTCTGGAGCTGCACACGGCAATAACTTTGTATGCTGATAAAATCTGCAGACTGGGAATTGTCCCTAAATTTTTATGAGGACACATACCTGGGCATAAAGATAACTATTAATGGAGAATCATGCAACTAGATTTCATTATGCTAAATACTTAAGATAATCTTAAATTGTATTGCCCAAAACCTTGAGAAGTGTTCTCAATTGTCTCTGTCCTGGATAGGGCTGAAATAGTAAAAATGAATTCTGCCATTAGACTTAGTATCATTTTAATGTGCTCCAACAAAAATTGCCTGCCTAAGTTAACAGGCACTGCGATAAAATTATCTTTCCTTTTTAAATTATTTTATTTTTGCTCAAAAAGAAGTTGAGAAAATCATTGATGAACTGAAATAGAGTTGATTGAGTTCAATGTTTTTTCCAGTTTAAAAGTAAAGATAAACTGCTTCAGCATTCCAAATAATAATATACACTCTACCAGTTTGGGCGGAACAGAAAGGTAGAAAGAAAACATCTTGGTTTTGGCTAATATTTTACTGGTTCAGGTCTTTGTTTCTCAATTCCATACTTAATGTCTGTAGGGAAAAAATCTTTGGCGTTCTTTTTAAAATTAGTTAATAGACGTTTCAATAATAGTTGGTATATTGTTGCTATAGTCTGTACTTCATCAGTATCAAAGTGTATTTGCCCAGTAGGTCTATGGGGTCACAGATAGATCACTTGGAAATTAAATATGTATTTTAGAATCTTACTTTACAAATACTGAATACCAAATGAATGTATGTTATATATATTCATGAT